ATTCATAGTTGAACTCAACATCCTAAAGCTTATTAGATTATAGTAAAGAAAGCAATGTCAAAGAAGGCAGCAAAGCACCAAGGCAATTTTGAGTTGAAACATATGCCACATTTTTAGGCTATTTTTATACCCTATTCAAAAATTTTATGCTCCTCGTTTTTTGCAAAAATCAAGGTGCTCTGCTAGCTTCGAACGAAGTCAACAGAGCACCTCAGTTTTTTAAAGCTTTTTTCCAAAACCAACGACACCATATTTTTAGGCTCTTAAAATATTATAAATTTGCTTATTCTCAGTTATTAATAGAAACAACATAAAAAGTCTTGCATGGTTTCAAATTGTATCAATGTTTTAAAATTGAATCAATGGTATATGAGGTTTGTCAAAAAATATGATTTTGCTTAATCCTTTATTTTTGACCAACCTCGTATACGACTGATAAAATTTGATATCTGGTGGTTGTATTTTAAGTTTAAGACAATACAGAACTTTTTATTAAAAATAACTTTTTCCAAAAATAATTAAATAAAAAAGTTTTCCATATGCCGCTAAACGTAGACAGTTGACGGCTTATGGAAAGCTTTTTTATAATTCATTTTAGGAAAAAAATGTATTCCTCATAAAAAGTTGCTCATGATCAAAAACCTAAGAAGCAACCATCTGATATCAAATTTTATTAGTCTTATACGAGGTTGGTCAAAAATAAAGGTTGAGCAAAATCATATCCTGTATTATTTAGAAATGGAATTTTTTTTAGTAAATTTTATATTTCAAGAGCCTAAAAATAGCCTAAAAATGTGTAGTTGTTTTTAGAAAAAAGCTTTAAAAAACCAAGGTGCTCTGCTGGATTCGTCCGAAGCTAGCAAAGCACCCTCTGTATTATTTAAAAAATACATTTTTTTTGAAAAGTTATATATTGTTTTAAGAGCCTAAAAATAGCTTAAAAATGTAGCATAACTAGTTTTCTGAAAAAAATAATAAACCGAGGTGCTCTGCTGACTTGGCTCCAACAAAGCACCCTGTATTATTTAAAAATAGCAATTTTTTAGTAAAGTTTTATAATATTTCAAGAACCTAAAAATAGCCTAAATATGTGGTGTAGTTGTTTTTAGAAAAAAGCTTTAAAAAAACCGAGGTGCTCTGCTACATTCCTTCAAAGCTAGTAAAGCACCCTGTATTTTTTTAAAAATAACAAAAACTTTCGAAAAGTTTTATAATATTTTAAAAGCCTAAAAATAGCCTAAAAATAGCCTAAAAATATGGTGTCGTTAGTTTTGGTAAAAAGCTTTAAAAAACTGAGGTGTTCTGCTGACTTCGTTCGATGCTAGCAGAGCACCTTGATTTTTGCAAAAAACGAGGAGCATACATTTTTTTAATAGGGTATAAAAATAGCCTTAAAATAGCCTAAAAATGTGGCATAGTTTCCACTCAAAATTCCCGAGGTGCTTTGCTGCCTCTTTGGCATAAGAAAGCAGCTTCAAAAGAATTGTTACTTGATGTTTATTGTAAATAAATTAAAATCTAAAAATAGTTCTAACAACACACATTTTCGTAATTTTGGCGTCTAGGAGTAAAGAAAATATTTCGGTAATACAATATTTAAGATCAGCAATGCCGGCAATAGTTGAGAAATGTCGGAAATGTTTCGGCAATGCACGAAATGTTTCAGAAATGCCGGCAATACCACAAACATTGCCGAATACGCCAATGGGTGTACACATTTTCATCAGTATAAAGCCCCTGGGGCAAAATTTAATTTCAAACGTTTAAAACCCTATATCTCGGTAATTAAGCCCTTTAAGGGTCGATGTTCCTATATCAAAATTCATCAATTAACAAGATCTTTATGGGGTAAAGCGTTGGCTGTCGAATATACTAATGCTCTGTACATTTGTACCACACAATACTGAAAATTCTTAAAAATTATAAACGTAAGTACCTAATTTACATCATTTCTAAATAAAAACAGTATTTTACTTTGTAAATTCTCATGCTAGATGAATTTTCTTGTGGAATTAATTACCTACCTTGTTTTGAGAATAGAAAACAATGAAACAAAAAAAAATTAAAATTGCATCAGCCCTTTTTGGAATGTTTCTCATTTATTCTGGACTACATAAAATGCAATGAGGCGAAAACATACATTTTTAATTAGCGAGGTAGACCTACCTACTAGATGTGGACAATGAAAAATATAAAACTATGTTCCTTGAAAATTTGTGTAGGTAATTAGTTACTTTGTCCACGACCACTTAATAATAAATCAATATTCTACCTCCTAACTAAAAGCATATGGTACCTATAGATCACTAGAGTGAATTATGATAATTCACGCTTTTGTAATTCTGGCACATTCCGGTAGATAACTAAAGATTAAAAAATCGAAATTCGAATAATCGAAAAATTGAAAAATCAGAAAAATTGGAAAATCGAATAATCGAAATTCGAATAATCGAAAAATTGAAAACTCAGAAAAAATTGGTATTTTTTTATGAAAAATATTCGAAATCAAGTAGAAAATAACTATTTGTGAAACCCGTTACGAAATGCCTTATTATATGTAACGAGTGAATAGGTCTCGGAATAGGTATTTGCGGTACGAGCAGAGCAAGGTCCCGCAACATGAACGAGCCATCATATCCACTCTTGTTGCTCAAACTACTATAGTAATATTAGTTTGTGCAACAAGAGTTTTTACGCTATTCATATAACGATACGCACAATCCACTAGAATAATGATATAATTTTTTCTACGATTGAGACTGACGAAAGATAAACTACAAAATTATATCTCGTTTCTTACTATAGGTACCTAAAATTAGTAATTTTATTTTAAATTTTAATAAAACTAATGTTTCTTGAGGTTTTAATACAAGAGAACATGTTAAAAAAAAAGGACCCAAATTGCAAACTTTTATAAGAAAAGCCATTTATAAAATGTTGGTAGAACACCTAGTCAAAATATTGGAAAAACATTAACTACAAAACACCCTGTATAAAAAATATTTTCATGTAGACAGGGTTCTGATAAATAAATTACATGCCTACTAAAGAGGTATTTCAACTTTTTCTCAAATGAAATGATACTTATTTTTCGTTAATTTTTAGAACCTCTATTGTCATTGTTTTAGGTAGGGTTGGAAAAACCCTAAGAAATTAAAAATATATGAGTTTAGGTTATTTAGGTTTTTTAAGGTTTTATAGGTTTTTTCTTCATATATATGTCAAAAGTTATTATTAATAATGTTAAACAAAAAATACAAGCAAAACTTGAAAAATAGAACTTTATTATTATTAAAAAAATCATATTCTGCAAACAAAAAAAAAGTGAAAAATAAATAATTTTTTTTTTTAATTGTCACTATCATTAATATATAACGTTTGCATTTGTTTTTATATACTCATTTTTGCACTCTTTTTAGTAGTAAAATTGTGAATTCCTATTATTTATATAAAACAAACTAAAAATGCATAATTTTTACTTTTAGGTTTTTCTTAAAAACCTAGGTGCAAAAAAAAACTGTACCTGCCAACCCTAAGAGTGTACCTATAGGTTTAGGTACTCCGAAAATAGCTTTTTTTTCAACTTCTTACTTGTAAATAGGTATACGGCCAGGGTAGGCAGGTACAGGTTTTTTGCACCTAGGTTTTTAGGTTTTTAAAAAAATCTAAAAACAAAAATTATGCATTTTTTGGTTTTTTTTTAAATAAATATTAGGAATTCACAATTTTACTACTAAAAAGAGATCTCTTGGGGCTGAGACAGGCCAAGATACTTCTGGGTGAATATAACCAGGAAAGATCGGAAGCCTGCATCTGCCTGAGCAAGAACAGGCTATGTATTGTAACAGGGATCCTTACCGGGCATTGCCGACTAAAAGGACACCTAAGTAAACTGAGAGTAGTAGAGGATAGTGAGTGCAGATTCTGTGGGGAGGAGGACGAAACCTCCATTCACATCCTGAATGTGTAACACTCCAGAGGCACTATATCTAGGAGGATATCAAATAGAAGAGGGAGATTTACCTAACTTGAAGCCACTTCAAATCCTAAACTTCCTTGAGGAAATAGGATTGGAAGGGTCGTTATAGGCATTGAGACATTTCCTTAGTGCATTGGCGATAGAAAGGGGCACAATAGATCTTTTAGGTCGCATTGTATTAACACCCCAATTTCACCATAACATACTAAAAAGAGTGCAAAAATGAGTATTTAAAAACAAATTCAAACGTTACATATTAATTATAGTGACAATTTTTTTTTGTTCGCAGAATGTGATTTTTTAACATAATAACGTTCTATTTTTCAAGTCTTGCTTGTATTTTTTGTTTAATTTTATTAATAATAACTTTTAACATATATGAACAAAAACCTATAAAATCTTGGATATACCTACTTATTTAAATATATATTTTTATACCCTTGTAAGCCCCAGTACGTCAATTTTGACATTCAACTTTTGAAACTATTATTGGACCATCCTGTATATAAATTAAAAAGTTTGTCGAACTCTGTATATCTGTTCTGTTAGTCTAGGTTCTAGATAATTTCAATACATTATGTTTCTTTTTCGATCAATAAAATTGGACTTAATGGTGTAGGTATACCTATAATTATTAGGTATTGAAAAATTCCAAAGGCGGATCGTTGAAGAACAATTTCAAAATACGAACAGTTTAATAGGTATCAGATCTCTGATCACAAATCACAATCAATGGCGTGTAAGATGTAGCCAAAGGTCGGTCACCCCTATTGAACGCCTCTGGCAAATGTACAAATCGTCCTTACATACATTTAATCCATGAATTATACAAAATAAACTTAAAAGAGACTCAAATTAGTGGTAAACGTTTCTTTGTTGTTGTTTTTTAATAAGTATGAACCTTATTTTATCATATTATTAAACATTATCGGTAAATAAAATATAAAAAATTTCGTTGCAAAAATTTAGGGCTGAGGGTTAATGTTAATGGCAATATAAAATGGAGATATCCAAAACTTACCTCATATTTGACGCCGGCTAGTCTCAACCATGTTTCGACTTTCAAACAATAGGGTGAAAGGGATGGCAACAAGGGTGTACGCGAAAATTGATACAAATATACGACATCTTTTTCAAAATTTGTCTTGTGTACAGTAACTTTTGGAGGAGCCGGTTCCTTTTCTTTTGCAGACGCAGGAGCGTCGCCGCCGGCATTCTCTTGTTTGGCAGCCTCTTCGGCTTTGTTGTCGATCTCTTCTTTAATTTCCTTTGTTTCCGGCGCGTTATTTTCGACTTCTGTAGCCATCGTTACCTTTTCAGTAATAAACACTTAACAAAACACGAGACGAGCACCACAACACAACAACAAACAGATATGAATCAATCCTACTATTCACAAGACAAGACAAAAACCAAGTTCTCTATAGCAAGTACGCAAGTAACAGAAACTCTCCGGACGACACACGACAAGCCGATTCGATGACGTCAGTCTTCGGCTTGGAATGGAAAGCGACGCAGATCATTCGCCCCCACCCGCTCTTCGTTCTAGTGCATTGCACAGAACCCCACCCTTATGCATTTTTGCAACGTTGTCAAGTTGCTCAGAATATTAGGGATGGTACTGCAGTCGCAATCGGTTGCAACAAAAGACAAAAAAAATGTAGTTTTTAAGTTATTAAATATATAATTACAAATTGTAGAAAGAATTTATAATTGCATATAATAGTCATTTAAATTTAAAGGCATATCTAATCTAATAGTTTCTACATTATTCGTCTAAAGTCAATTTAAGAATGTTATCATATATGCGGGTATAATTTACAGTGGCGGAGTAGGTTTGAAAATTCAACGTGTCCAAAATGATTGCATTCTAGCATTAATTTTTTTTACCGTGTTTAAAAAACTGCAAATCTGGATAGGTACAGCCTATGGGTACAGCATAAGAAAATAATTAGGTAGGTAGGTACACTGCCTATGAGTGATCAACAAAATTTTTTTTCTAAAGTAGGCCTAGGAAAAATTCGTACGTCGAGCATACAATTCTTTTTATTTTAAATGCCAATTTGGGATAGAGTTTAAATTAGAGTCGCGCTTAGTCACGGACATGACTCGCAGTGGCGCATCCAGAGTCTAAGTCTGGGGGGGCGGTTGGTAATATTAAGACTTTATTTTTGATAATAATACATTTTAGTACCTATAAATAGTTGAGTTTAAAAATTCTTGGGGGTGTAATTGCCCCCATTACCACCCCCCCCCCCCCTATCAATTATCACCTTCGGTTAGTTTCCGTTTTTAACAAAGTTTCATTTTGTTTTAGCAAAAAAAGGTTTGTTCCCTTTTTTATAGGTTTTAATGAATAAATTTTAATTTGTAAATTGTATATATTCATTTCATATTACTGAGGCCCCCTCGCTATACCTATATGACCTCAGTAGTATTACATTCGTACCAACGAAAAAAAATTCTAAAGGTACCATTTGAGAACGCGAGACCGAGTAAGGCGACATTAGGTGTAAAGCGACAGCGTAAGGCGACCGAAAACGGTTTCTTCACGTCTGAACACGTAATTAAATGAAAAACATTTGGGACAGCGCGATCAATGCAAGAGAGAGGAGACAGCACTTTTAACACGGCAGTATTTGCTGTTAGCTGCCTGTCACTTCCCAAATGTTACCTTAACCCCCCCACTTTTTAACACTTTTTTCCACTTTTTGGATCATATTAAATCCTGCAACGCAAACAAAAATTTCGTCTCTACGTCCGTGCGTCGACACTATAACTCTAGACCACAAGCACCAAAATCGACTTGCGGTTTTCATTTTATTTCATAATTTCTTCTAACTGCGAAATCTATTGGTTTTAAGAATATTCCGTTGCATTTGTGGTAGCTTTTTTAATAAGACTCGTCTACTTTTTACAAATTTATATTTTCATCTTGATGCAATTAACTCTGTCCAGGGCCGCCGAGTGCCAGGTGGGGCCCCGGGACAATTTTCCAGGTGGAACCCCGCGACAATTTTATAAAAAAATTAAGCCCTTTCAATATCACATTTCTAACAAAAAAAGAAGGTCCTCAAGTGCAAAAACTTAGATCCTTTTTAGTAAAATCTCTAAAAGAAAAAAGGTTCTTATCTTATACAAACCAGCGCTCCTTCCTTCCTAAAGCTGCCCGAGCTCCGGGAATTTGTCCCGACTACCCCCCTCTCGTCGGCCCTGTGCCTGTAAACTGTGAAACCCATTGAGATAGAATAAAGAGGCGATGCTGTGAAGATGCTGAAGTATTCGCACCTTTGCATTACACTTTTACCGCATGTGTCAAACTCGAGATAGTCAGTTTTGGTGAAAATAAATGCCATTTTTATTAAATAGATTCATTTAAATGATATAAAATCATTTTCATTCCGTCACCCAGACAGCACACCAAATCCTTTGAATATCTACTGAACATCCCAATATCCACTGAATGTCCAGTCCATGGTGGATATCTATTTTATATCCATGAGCTGTAATTTATAGACATGAAAAATGTCCATAAATAATAGTAATTATATAGCAAATTATTAAAAAATTACGCCATTGTGCTCGCCATTGTGGCCAATAGTACCGTTCAGATATTTAAAATTAATTTTTTTAAGGTGTATTCAATATCCCATGGACATCCACTAAATATATCAAAGACTAGGCGCGAACGCAAACCATCGTGGATATCCACTAGATGTAATTTTTGATTTTGCTTACTAAGTATAGATGGCGATACTACTTTCGCATCTACTCATGCTCAACCCGCCGTAATTGAGTTCGATCGAAATTTGTTTCACAATCAGACTCCATTAGAGACTGGAGTTGAGAATTCCCATTTATTGCGGAAGAGTCCTAATAAGGATAACCTTCTCCTTAGTGGGCAAAATCAAAGGCAGAGTGTTGAAAATATTTTTTATCTCTATTTTCTTTCGATTTTATTCAATAATCATTGGTTACTTATGAACCTCTACTAAAGATACCTATAAAATATTTTGCTAAATATCCGAATTCTTCTATATCCTGGGATATAGACGGACATTTGGTTGGATATCCATATTGGATATCCACAGAATATATTCTATGGATATCTCTGGGATTTCTTGTATTGTCTGGAAGATACTCATTAGATATTTTGCTGGATATCCATATGATATCTTCTATATTCTGGATATAGACGGACATTTGGATATCCATATTAGATCCACGGAATATTTCTGATATCCTGTGGATATATTGGATATCCACAAAAGATATTCTGTGAATATCTCTAGGATTTGATGTGTTGTCTGGGCAGTCTTCAAATATAAAATTATTGACTCTCTACTTTAATTTTTAATTATTTTTATTTATTTATTTTTATTTATTTTTATTTATTTTTATTTATTTTTATTTATTTTTATTTATTTTTATTTATTTTTATTTATTTTTATTTATTTTTATTTATTTTTATTTATTTTTATTTATTTTTATTTATTTTTATTTATTTTTATTTATTTTTATTTATTTTTATTTATTTTTATTTATTTTTATTTATTTTTATTTATTTTTATTTATTTTTATTTATTTTTATTTATTTTTATTTATTTTTATTTATTTTTATTTATTTTTATTTATTTTTATTTATTTTTATTTATTTTTATTTATTTTTATTTATTTTTATTTATTTTTATTTATTTATTTTTATTTATTTTTATTTATTTTTATTTATTTTTATTTATTTTTATTTATTTTTATTTATTTTTATTTATTTTTATTTATTTTTATTTATTTTTATTTATTTTTATTTATTTTTATTTATTTTTATTTATTTTTATTTATTTTTATTTATTTTTATTTATTTTTATTTATTTTTATTTATTTTTATTTATTTTTATTTATTTTTATTTATTTATTTTTATATATTTTTATTTATTTTTATTTATTTTTATTTATTTTTATTTATTTTTATTTATTTTTATTTATTTTTATTTATTTTTATTTATTTTTATTTATTTTTATTTATTTTTATTTATTTTTATTTATTTTTATTTATTTTTATTTATTTTTATTTATTTTTATTTATTTTTATTTATTTTTATTTATTTTTATTTATTTTTATTTATTTTTATTTATTTTTATTTATTTTTATTTATTTTTATTTATTTTTATTTATTTTTATTTATTTTTATTTATTTTTATTTATTTTTATTTATTTTTATTTAATTTTATTTATCAGTCAAAGTCAAAAACGAAAAATGATATCAGCCTGAAATTTCAGGAAAAATCAAGAGAAGCCTATTCATTTAAAAAAAAAAATCTAAATAAAAATGAGAGGAGTTAAAAGGGATTGAAATATTAAAAAAATATATTAACTCAAAAACAAAAAATGATATCAACTAATACTAACTCAAAAACGAACAACAATATCATACCCTACCGGCTTATAACAGACAAAGACAAAGAAAACAATAATATCGACTTTAAATTTTTGGAAAATTTCAAACTCTACAAGGGGAAAAGCCTATTGATTTAAAAAAGAACTCAAAAAAATGGGGGTCAAATTCAAAAGTGGGGCGATAAGGGGGGGTTGAAATATTGAAAAACTCAGAAACAAAAAACGATATCAAATTGAAATATTCAGGAAAAATCAAACTTTATAAGGAGATGACATATTCATCAAAAATGGGGGATAAGGAGGTATGTTAAACTGTGAAGAGTATAATGTAGAACGCTAAGCATTATATGTCCTCATTCTAGTTTTTACATCGGCATTGTCACTAATACCTTTTTTATAAAATAAAAAACTTATAAACAATAAAACAACTTTATATCATATACATATAATAAATGGATCTTACCAAACCAAAACATACCCTTCGGATTGCACGTCACACCTACTTTCAGAGTTATCTGCATAATGGAATAACAACTCCTTTAGGACATGCATCATTGATAATTTTATACATGCCTTTACAATGTTAAATAAATCAAGCCTTATACAGGGTGGCCACTTTTTTAATGGGATTGTATCAGTAATTTCGAAACCATACTAGTTAGAAGGTTGGTTAAATGGAAAAAAAGTTGCCTATTTAGAAGTATAATCTAGCGGTGGAAATTAATCCAAAATAGCAGGCCCGGTTCTTGAGATATTTCGAGAAAAGAAAATTAGATCTTTTCGGTTTTTTGGTTATCGTTCATTTATTTTAAAAATTAGCAAAAAATCTTCAAAAGGTTTTTTATTTGATAGTAAATTTTCTTTGATTTGAAGTTTTCATATTTTGCATCAAACGTTTCGTATTCTCCGGA